CTGTTACACTCCTGGTGTAGTGATAAATAAGAAAGTGTAACTGGATAAGTGCGTCATCCAACCGTCTTTTAGACACTAAATGTGGGTGCAGAGACGACTGACTCTGGGAGAGCTTTCCACGGGTGACATACACGGATGAAAACGAAATTTCGGCGGCGCTCCAGACGGCTATGCTGTTCTGCAAATTTCAGTGAGTGATTGCTCAGGTCTGTATTGCTGCTGTTGCCGTAAGGTGTGGAACACAGGATGTGGGTCGTGCTGAATCAAGTATACCATAGTCAGATTGCCTCCTAAGCTGCGGTACCTTTCGCTGAATACCCCCACTCGTTACAGCCTCTGCTCATATGAAAAGTTACGCGTTTCAATGACGTTCTTAGATGCCTGACGTTGAGGTTATCCCAGTGGTTTAAGGTCATGTTTTAACCATGAATTGTGTATTCGACATGGGAGCGAAAATACGCACTGAGCATTTGTCGAAAAATAGAGCTGTCTATTTGACCGAGCACCCGTCGCTCCAGTCCGACATGTTAGTTTCCAGTCTTTGAGGCCTTTTCGGATTACCTGGAGGAGCCCAACTCATCCTGAAACAGCACACACTTCATGTTCGATAGTGAGTTATTGTGGTACATCCGTTCCGATTACGTATGAGTAGTTTCTCTTGTGTCGTATGGAGCGTACCTTGCATTTACTGACGATGAAATGCAGTAAATTTTGGGTTGACCGTTGATGCAACGTGTCTAGGTCACGCTGAAGTAGATACTGACCGAAATTCACCTGAATCCTGCGTCATTTGGTTTCGTCAGCAAACACAAGAAGTTTGAAGCGATTGCCTGTACGATGTCAGTATTAAACACAAAAACAAGGGAAGGGATACTGGGCGGTAGTTAGAGGGCTCAGTTCTGCCTCCACCTTCGTTTATCTGGATCACTATTCCAAGCTATCACATAGCCGGAAACTGGTTCTGCTCCAAGCAGCGCTGGAGAAACTGCTAGTTGGCTTTTTGCTGCTCCCAGTGCCTCTGGACCAATGGTATCTACCCTGGTGAGCTGTGTTTACGTAAAGACGCCAGCTTTCGCAATACAGCCTACGTGGTAAAATAGATGTGGGTTAATCCCAGCCGCGGGACGGTAAAGACCGTAATATCGCTTGGTAGAAAGACCCTCTGAAACGTGGAGGCATTTTGCATCTGCAGCTCGTTTGCTGCTTCCACAGCCGTTCTTGTTGGTCCATCGGCCGTCCTGAGTGGAGGAAATCCTTGCCTCACTTTTCCTAGGCTATTGACGTGCTTGTACTGCAGTTTGTGGTGGGCACTGAAGGCAAGCGCAAACAGTCAGGCGAGTGTTGTGTTTACAAGACTGAATTCAAACGCTGTCGTTCAAGGTGGTGGTCGGGCTGACACAGGTTGGATTAGTGTAGAACAAGTCCAAGATGACGGACACAGACAGCAGTTGGGCCAATCAATGAGGTCCCCAAAATTAGCCAGAGAATATTCATCAAATTCGCACCGATGGAAAAATACACCAAAAGAAAATTAGTTGTGCATAATTCACACAGAAATTAACCGTATAATACAGTAATCACAAAGCAAAAGTATAATCCAGCACGGTTGGGCAAAAATTCGCGACGTCCGTGGATACAGTCAGTCGCACCAACCGTCGCACTTCTCACTTGACGACAAGACGTTAGTTAGAATGCGGAGACATGGAGTTTCATCGGTATAAAGGCAACCACTTAACAAGTTTCATAGGGTGTCCAGCATAGAAAACACGATAATGGCGAAAACACTGCAAGAAAATGAAAAGCCTTTGAGTCGCCTCAACTCAGTATTCACAACGAGACACACATAAAAAGCAAACCCCGATTGTGCACGTTAATGCTGGTTATGTGACGTTTATCACATTCTATCGTCTGTTGAAACGCACAGGCTATGTCTTCTAATGAAGTTGCGTTAGGGCAGTGTGAAGGCGATTTTTGGCCATAGAAAATTAAGGGCGGAAAGAACGTAATTTGGGAGAGCGTTCCTTGGATGCTAGACAGGAAGAGAGTGAAGGTATCAACAACATTCTGGCCGCTTGTATTGTGTGGCTACCTTGAAGTTGTGGTCCCTTAGATTAGTGTTGTTGATAACTTACAGTAGGGGGCACGAGACCTGATTGGAGTTCCAGAGAATCTGGTAGGTGAATATTAAGTCACCACGTAGGCAACAATACTGAAGGCCGTAGGATTTTAGCGTTTTCCAGTCCGAAGTTGATAAGGAAGGTGCAAAAACCTTTTGAGGTGCTTAGTGGCTTTTGCTGTTGAGTTTCGGGCTTTGCAAGATCTTGCTTGTGCCATGGCTGCCAGGACTGGATTGCGCATTCAACGTGAAGCCGCACGTTCTTAGTAACAAACGGCGAAGCAAAAGATGGATAAAACCACCTGAATACTCTCCGCAGCATAGCAAGGCGTTGGTTCCCACTCTTTGATGCCTTCACGGATTGTTATGAGCGTCCTAAATCAGCCTGGATTAATATCGCATGCTTGCACTACTGGGTGACGTCTTGCAGGTCATGCTCTCCAAGCTTGCGTATGATGTTCGGTTGATGAGGAATGTGAACCAGCTTTCACTTAGACTACTTAAACTGAAGCACGTCGCGGAGTAACCACTCATAAACCGTGTCAAAATCTCGCTGAAGTGTATGATGGTATCATCATCATCATGCTCATCATCATCATCATCATCATCATCATCATCATCATCATCATCATCATCATCATCATCATCATCATCATCATCATCATCTCATCATCATCATCATCATCATCATCATCATCATCATCATCATCATCATCATCATCATCATCATCATCATCATCATCATCATCATCATCATCATCATCATCATCATCATCATCATCATCATCATCATCATCATCATCATCATCATCATCATCATCATCATCATCATCATCATCATCATCATCATCATCATCATCATCATCATCATCATCATCATCATCATCATCATCATCATCATCATCATCATCATCATCATCATCATCATCATCATCATCATCACCATCATCATCATCATCATCATCATCATCCTCATCATCATCATCCTCCTCCTCCTCATCATCATCATCATCGTCATCATTATCATCATCATGGTATCCTCTTAACATCATCAGTCAAAAACAAGAAAGCAGAGACCATCTGATGTGTAAGTTCATTATTAAACCCAAGAAGCAGACGCGACTCGAGAACCGATTTTTATGGAACTACTCACTCGACGTTAATCGGATCAGATAATGTACTTCGAACTCTAACCTACAGTTGCCGCTTCTGCAGAAAATTCCTGATCAACTTAAGGACATAATCCCAACTCCATAGCTGGCTAACCTGTGAAGCAGAATGCTGTGGTCCACGTCGTCGAAGGCTTTGGAGAAGTCGAAGTAAATGATATTGGCCCCTCTACTTTCATCGGCCGCTTCCGTCCAACTACTGCGCGCAAGCAGCGGTTTGGTTGTGCTTGAACGGCGTTGGCGGAAACTGTGCAGCTCAGGTGTTATGATGGCGTAGAGTTCTAGCTGGTTGACCAAATCCTCAGCTATTCTTACTGCCATCACCTTTTAGTACAGAGAGGCGGACGACTTTGCGTTAGTTTATGGCTTCCGATGGACTGCCACTATTGGAAATTAGCGTGATTAGGCCATGTTTCCACATGGTGGCCACAATAAGTTTATCCAAGAACATTATCACAAAGATAATGCGAATTCTATTTAACCCGGTGATTAAGTCTCGGTGTTACTCGGGACCGGTTTTACGAGCACGCTACACGAAAGAGCTTTCACATAGTTTTTGCACAACAGTTTTGTTGTACTAAAAATTCATAGCAGTAGCTTCCGTGTGAGATGCATCCGCAAAAGCGCCAAACGACTGTTTTGTTCTAATGTGACTAGTCATTAGTGAATTTGCCACAGTTCCAGCAGGAACCGAGTCTACGACATTTAGATACTCGCGCTTTGCACCACTAGTCAGCGGCTTATGCAACAAAACCATGGGTGACGACGGAAGACCGTCCTGACTTATTAGCTATCGACGTTCTGGTGGAGTTCATCGCGCCATGTGTGACCTGCAAGCTACTGCGATAAATTGTCAATTGAGCTCCATCAAAATCCCCTGTTTTGTAGTAAACATTTTCGTTCTTTAGGCGGTGAACCTGTAGAAGGAAACGTTTTCATCTTGTGGTTCAATCGCATTGTGCTACTTGTTTCTCTTTTCATGAGAAAGTAGCACGGGTTCGTTAACTATTTCAGCGTCAAAGCGGTATCCAGCGTCTCCAAATAAGCTAAAAGTGTAACATTATCCGCTCATGCAGACCTTGACTTCTGTGTCAACTTTACTTCAACCACCTGCAGATGGCTTCCTATGGTTACAACTTTCAAAGTGTCACGATCCTGATAACCCAGGTTTGCTCTGAGAAAATAGTATGGAAGTCTTTAAGTGTATAGATAGACAACTGGTGTTGTGTTTGGCAGTAATGAATCAGTGGGCTTTCAATTGACAAAATGCTCTTCGTTGTTTCCGTTCGGCGAAAGTTGAGCTACCGCTGACAACGAATAAGCTTGTTTTATCTTCATTAGTTGGCTCCCGATGTCTATTCCATGAAAATGGCTTATCCATCTACAGGACTGCTTATCCTAGCTAGGATAGTAAATATTTCCGTCTAATTGTTTCTAGCGACATGGTCATTTGATAACAATATGAAGTCAGAACGTGCTAAATCTTTGTCTTTTGTCCTGAAGGTTGGCTTGCGTTTCTGAAATTGGGCAAGTTCCGCATTGTTCTTGGCTTCGTGTGCTTCCACCATTCATTTTGCATGCGGCGACTGAGTAACGTGCATATTTCTCGCTTACTTCTCAAATACAAGCTGTTATAACCTTCAATGTCGCACACTTCTCAGTAGGAGTTATGCGTGAGAAGAAGACGTGTTAATGCTTGCCGTTGACTCTTACAGCAGAGCATCCATATCTCCAGTATGCCCACTGTCGTGTCAACCGTGAGGGAACGTCGCAGTCCAAGCCGTAGTTCGATGCGATCGCACATGTCGTCGCCACCTGCTGGGTACCACCAACATTTCACTCGTTCCCACTACCCCCAGACCCGAGTGATTCCGCAACGAGTGCCTTCTATAATGATGGTTGGCAAATCCCTCTATCCTGTACCAAGCCGATCCAACAGCGCATACTTTCCTTCGCGCGTCCCTTCATCGTATGTCTATACTGTTCCTGGAAGCGCCGAAGCTAATCGGGCACAATACTGGTACGACCGAATTGTCGAAAATCCTACCGCAGCTTTACCAACCTCAAATCTGCGCGCACACCCACCACCACGGAGGAACTTCTCTGCCCCGGTACATCCACAATGCTAAGTGTCTGTCACTACTGAGTTTGGTAATCCATGGTTATATATTTTGTTATAAACTGTGACACAGTTACAATTAAGTCCCCTGGGGTAAACTAAATATAATGGTAGTATTCGACAACCGCGAATCAGTAGAAAAATTCACAAACACGGTTCTAGTGCCGTTCACACGGGTACGTGTTAGCGTAATGTGAATTGAATCTCGCAAAAATTCGACCTGTCATGGTACTAACGTCCACCTTCACATCACCACAAACTAGACCAAGCAATATTTCTGTGGCGCATTTTTGCGTCAGGACCGAATTCGTCGGAGGCTATTTCAAGTTGGGAAGCCAACTGTCGGGCAAGGTTTCATGATTTTGAAGCACAAAACCGGTGTTCAAACACGGCTGTCCCAGTGAAGTATCGATCGTTCGTGGTGTCACAATGGTTACCTGGATAGGTTTAATAGGACCTAACGTTCGCAGACTTCTAGTGCACACCCAAGTGAATCACAGCGCACGGAAGCGGTAAGACACACCATTGTAAAGTCCACAATCTAGGACGATTCAAACATTCGCAGTGCAGATAGTACCTACCACATACTTACAAAGCTTGACCAGCACCGATAAATAATGCTTTTTCCACAGAACAAGCTACCTCCGTGTGTTCTAGTAATGGCATGTCAAATTCCAATCACTGAAAGGTTCAGTATGTGGGTTAACGGACAGAATACTTTCCCATTAGGACCGTACCCCGTGCTACCAAGCAGTTCAGTCAGTCCCACTAGAATAATTTTCTGCGGTCCATGCTTACGTGTTTGCAGAAGGACGGGTAGTGCTTCCCTTGTAGTAAGCGTGATCGATCTGGGGGAAAAGCGATCTGAACTGTATTCAACCTTCTGGGAATCCTCTGTTTCGCATCGACTTGAGTCAAGGATACACTGCAAATGTTACCCGAATCCAGTGAATTCACCTCAGAGTAGTCAACAAACAAATCGCACTTCTGTGACTAGAAAGTACAGCGATTCCCTGTGCTTTAAGATCGACTGATTGATTCTGTCGTATGTTTTGAAGACCGGAGTTAGCCCCATCCCCGGTGTCTTCCTCGCTACCCAGTGTTTGACTTGTCCATTAGCGGTCGCATAGTTTTAGCTGGCATTCCTAAGTGAGGGGTTTATTCCGTCGCCGAATTTGTGCTACTTCACCGGGGACAGTACATAAGTATCCTGCAATAGCATTTCGCCAACCTGCGATGGCCGGGGTCAAACCGAATAGAATTAAGAGGATTGGAAAAACGGGTTACTATATATAATCGGGATACCTGGAGCAGATATGCAGGGATAAGCAAGTTATCCCAACTAAAACCACAACTTCACTAACGGCTGTCTATCTTGTGAAGACAAGTGGGTGCGAGCAAGACGAATTCCTTGCGTTTTCCACTGCTCCGCTTCATAGTCAGCCTTATCACAAATTAAACTAGGCAGCAAGTACACCACAAGTAGGAAGTGCCACTTGGAGCCGACAGCTGGTGCAGCACTACTGCCCATTGCAAGCCACCTCCAGTAGTGTCTGAAACCAAACTTAGGTTGGATGGCGTAAACCCCAGTCTGGATGATGAGGCCGCTCAACAGCATGTCGCTTAACATCCAGTTTATTCATTTTCTGCAACCAGTCAGTGTTTGACCGCGTTAGAAATTATACCTACTGTATCGCCTAAACGATGCAAAATGACAATCGATGGCTAATCTAACGGTAAATTCCGCTCGCGCCCACTTGATCTGACAGAATGGCCATCACCACTCAGTTACTCGCCTTTGTTGTTCTTTGTTGTATCCCTCACCGCGGGTTTACAAGCATTATCTCCGAAAGCAAAGGAATCCTTCTTCTGGTAACAAAGCTACCGCACATTTCTGAAAGTGTTTTATGTCTTAGTACTACGTGAGCTACATTCAGAAAGCATGAGCCTGTCATAGCGAATGCGGTTACTAGTGTGGGAGAAACCATCAAATACACTAGATCTTCACCATCAACCTTCAAAACGCCATCTAGCGTTAGCGAGCATGCTGAAGTAATAATGCACTTTTTAAGCGGTAATGTGATCACTCAGTAGCGTCTACCCGGGGGTAGCTATGCCGCATCAAGGTGGCCAATGAGCAGGAAGAGTTCGTCCTCAAGCAACACTGCAACGTCTGCATCGCGGCGTTACAAATGGGATGCCTCTTCAGTTAAGCTACCACAAAATTAAGTAGCAACTGGAGGACGGAACAGCATTGGCTTACGGAAAGTTTTGTCGGATATATATCCGATAACATGTTACAGACCCTGACGCGCTTTGAGTTATCCGAGTATCACACTCATGGCCTGCTGTCGTACTTATTGGAGACATTGTTTCTAACAAACACGTCGAACCGAACAAGGCGATCGATTACGTTTCAGTGGCACTTGAAATTCAGGGACGATTGGGTGTACTTTGCGTCTACCGTTGTCGTAGCCGAGCAACAATCGATCTATGCAGACAATCAAGGTCGTGACACCACCAGCTATTCTCTCGCACGGAATTCTCGTTCCACAGAAAGCTGACGGACGCGAATGGGGGCCAATGACCAGGGTTACCAGTGGCCGCAACTTGATACCCTCGCAATTAGCACATAATTTGCAGCGGCGCTCCTTAAACATTGAGGCGGTTATCGAATATCCTCATTTGGTAAACCAATCTCCTACTTCCGTAGCTGTTCGTTTATTTGGGTCAATGCTATGCATAGTACCTCACTAGCGGTCACTACCAGTTGAATAAAGGCACCTATGCTCTCCCTGATTACTTCATTGATGGGTAGTTTTCTGGAGGCAGTGACCGTTATATATTGCAGGTGTACATAGAAATTAACCTGCGCCCTCCGACATTTCCGTTCCCTGGCTGGGTCGAGCCCACGGCTCAATAATCAAGTCTCAGATTCTGTGATAGACCGTTTAGTAACCTCGCGTCGGTTGCCAGTAGTGCTTTCTCGGATTTTAGCAAGTTCACTGACATTTTTGACTTTCAGCGTGCGGTAAAATGATGACTGATTGTGCCGAAAGCATATTGTCCTGCGTTGCGAAAATCCATTAACGGTTGGACTTAATACTTACCGACCCACTGATTTAAAGCTCGTTACGTGAGGCTTGTCTAAGCGAAGATGGCGACATCCCTTAGTTATCAATCAGGAGACTAGTTTACCACGTATCGCTGCAAAAGTCCAGTCCAGTCAAGTCAGTATAAGCTTGATGTACCCAAAAGGGTGTAAGTTCAGAACTTTATATTTTCATGTGTAAATTTATCAAAGGGTTACCACTAAAAATGCTAAGTTTACAAATGGGTAGAGAAATGAAGATACAGTGTCATGGATCAATCGAGCAACGAGCCCAAAAAACTGGACTAAATCTTCGGGAGTTGTATCTATTGCAAACAGAAAAGATTTCGTAAAAATGTTTCTTCAGAATTCGTTTCAACTGACGTAGAATTTTGTGCCCAGAGGCAATATATTCGGGATCGTGCGCGCTATCACGCGTGTATATTCAAAGTTGGATGGAGTAAAGGGTCGCAGTTACCTTGGAAGTTGATTTAACGAAACACCTGTCGCTGTAATCTTGCAATGCTGAGCTATAGACACCAGACAATGTAACGATGAGGTTCGAGGAAAAAGGCAACGGCCGATTTATAGGCCCCGCCACAGGACAGCTGAGAAATTCAATGCAAGTGCTCATGAAGGATCGTTAATCGAAGATGGAGTTACATTACGTGAAGCTTTGAGGAATGTAGTCTGTTTACGTCCGTCACCAACCAACTGCCGAATTGCTTTAAGTGACGCATCAGCAACTGTTAGGCGAAAACAACATGCAATAAGTGCTCGAAATTGATTTGACTGGTCCAGATTTCCGGTATTTGAAGGGCACAGATCGTGCGTACAATTATTTTACTCCCTACGCCCAACAGGTTTCAACTGTTGAATCCTGTGGTAGCGACCAGTCCATCATGTTGGCGGCTGGGGTGAGGCCAATAAAATCCGCCTTTCAGTAGTTGAAGGATGGCTCCAGCGGAGGAGTAGAAAGCAGTGACGGTTCTAAGCTCGCCATAACCATCGTGTGGTCACCAGCTGCTAGGGGATCTATGACAGGTACATCCCGCACATGTTGAACGCAACTGGTCAGCAACAGATCCAGGCACGATGGAGTTGAATGCGCGATAATGCGTGTCAGCTCATTAATGTACTTTGAGGCCCCAGTTTTTTTCGTTTCGACTTCGTAGTGGCCAGGGAGAAGCTCAACTTCGGGCCACTGTATTCGAGGACAGTTGAAATCGCCCATGAATAGGAATTGCGGCCGACTCATATGGTTGTGCACATGCGGCAACCAGTCCAAGCTGCGGATCAAGGGACTGCGATACACAACACCCACGGGGAGTTCGCCGCCTCTCAGGTGGATGGAACACCAGGGCTGTTCACACAGGCCATCACCAGTTCCGCAGATGTCCACAAGTCTCCCGCACAATGAAGAGCGTATGTAGAACAGCACTCCACCGCGGTTATTTGATAGCCTATCACAGCGGAAACAAGAAAATCCGCTGATTTCGATTTCTTAGGAGGTTATCTCTGAATTTGATCAAGTTTCAGCGAGACCCAATACGTCTGGTTGCCGAAAGGCAACGAAGTGGCAATCGTCGTTACGTTTGTTCAGTAGACTACAAACATTTCTTAAAGGCTACACGTCGGCCGAGGTAGGAACCGTCGGACTTGCGTGAAGCATTAGCGACCTCTTCATCCTGAATCGGGGAGGAATCCGAGTAGCTATGCGAAAAGTTACAACGCGGAGCTTTATTCCCCCGCCTATAGTGCACCGCTTTAGTTCAGTCACGGCAGACTTTAGTTTTTCTGTCGGAGTGTGCATGAATCGAAATTGTCACTACATCCAGAGCGATATGTACGCAATCTTGCTAACGTTCAGTTGAACAAATGGAAATTAGATGCTCTCTTGC